ATGGCAACCTTCCACACACGCTCTCACAACCACTAACCCCTCCCCTCCCGGCAGCCAAGCGTGCGCTCACCCCAGATCCATTACTTTACCAGTACGCTTTGGGATCCCCTGAATACTTTCATACAATCAGACTGCTACCACAACCATCTCCTCTGCACATTTGAAGGCCTGTGGTGCCCGCATCATGCATGACTGACCACCAGCACCATGATGAAGCCATGCAATGGCTGTGTTTCTAGTTGGCATGTTGAAGCTTAGAGTCGCAGAGCAGATATCACAGGAGATAAGGACAAAAGAGAGGAGACAGGCCTAGACAGAAAGGACCTTAGCCACTCATTTTCAGGGGCCTGCCCCGCTTCAGTATGGCACAAGGGTTTGTGTTTGCTCTTTCTCTGCCTAGGGAGGTATGGGCTGGTAAACTCAGACTTTGGCAGCTGTTAGGATCCCTCAGAATCTCTCAATCTTTGGAGGGAGCCTCAGGGAGAGTAGTGGACAGGGCAGAAAAGGCAGTGACAAGGACAGCAGGAGGGATCCCAGGGAGTGGCACAATGACCTGGCATCTTCTGACTCTCCTGGAGAGCTCAAGTTTCCTGTCCAGGCCTGACCAGAAGCTCCTTGGCCCCTTCTTGTTGGCATAGCTCTCCCTTCCTGGAGTCACTGGGAAGAGGATCTGGTTGGAGTCATCTAATCTCTTCATGTAGAACCAGAGGTTGAATTTGAAGCTATGGTTGCTAAGCCAAAGGACATTCTTATCTGTCCTTTCTGTGGCTTTCCTGCCTGGGCTCTCTGCCTGTGGGAAGGCAGCCTGGAGTGTGAGGATGGCCTCATCTCATATACACCGATAGGTTACCTCTGGACTCGGGGTAGACCAGTTGTCCTTGAGAAGAGAACCGTTAGCTACCCTCACTACAGGGCCAAAGAGGATGAGAAGCCTCAGGTTAGGTCTTGCCTTGTCTGACTCCATTTCCCGAAAGTCCCTCCCAGATGGTTTCAGCACATCCTACACTTTCTTCCTGTCAACCTCTAGGCTGGTCCCCCTTGGCCACATCCCCCACCTCTGCTGACAAACCTCACAGTGTCTTGGTCTCCACACTGACAAAACCTCAAGGACTGAGGTCACACCTAGGGACCTCCTAGGAGATGGGCAAGGGGACCAGTTAGACCACTACTTCCAGTCAGATCTCAACCAAGAATAAGCCAACTTGGGTTCAAATCCCTTCTCTACCACTTCTTGGCTGAATGGTCCTGGGAAAGTAAATTAACCCTTCGGAACTTTGATCTTCTGAAGATGTAGTCACAGAGTCTCAATGTAGATAAAGTAGGATAATGTGTGCCAGGGTTCCATTCATTGTTGACTAGTGTTGGGTTTCAATGTATGTAAGACACTGTTAAAGATTATTTTATTGCTTTTCAATGTTGGGTCTATAGGTAAATTTTATTTTTAAGTAGAGAAAAACCAGGGGCTAAGAAAGTTTAGAGGCCATCAGCTCTGATTTTAGTCCAGTTTTGTAAATGTCACCAAGGGACACTGGGATTTTTTCCTGGCAGCGCACATCATTTGTGAGGCTTCCTGGAGAAAAACACTTGAGGTCAAGACCAGATTGGTTTTATTTCTCTTTTTCTTTATTTACCTTTTTCTCTACCTTTCCCATGCCAGTTGCTGGCTGGTAAGGAATAAGCTGGGTCTTGCGTGGGTGACAACAGATGGATCCTGGCAGAACTCGGCACCCAGTACAGACAGTTGGACAACGCAGGCCTCTCTGTGACGCTCAGAACTGTCTTGCTCTATCTCTTCAGCTCCCATCCTCAGCATCTCCATGCTGACTTTGCTGACCCACACATGGCACAGGCATTCTATCACCTCTGTGACTGGCGCACATGCAGTGAGCAGCCACTGTGCCAGGCACAGGTGCTCCCCCCATCCAGGTGGTCCACCAGCCAGCTCTCTTCTCCTGAGAAAGATTTCCCTACAGCCAGTGGCCTGTCTCCATGTTTCATTGCTCCAAGACAGATGGTAGTTATTGGCCCCACAAAAGACTAAACTGCCCCAAATTTAGCCACTTCTTGGGGGGACATTTAAAAAATCCATCAAATCTCAGGGTTCAAAGGAGCCTTCGGCATCTCTGGAGCACCTCCCTCCTGCCACAGGAGGGGGTGGAGCCACAGGATGGTCAGGTCAGAGGCTAGAAGTAGCACAGGCCCCTGGCTCTGGTACAGCCTCCTGCGGAGGGTAAACATCCTGCAGGACAGCAGTTGTAAGTTCTTAGAGAACGGAGACAGACCAAGCAGCAGGGACAGATGGCGGAGGGAACTGCCATGCCCCAAGACAGCCCATACTGGAACATGTGCTCCAGCTAGTGCTTGGTGAACACAGCTTTGTAGTCACAGGCACCCCCACCAGGGCTGGGGTGTCCCCAGTCATCTAAGGAGGGAGCCCCCAAGCGGAAGGAGCCCCACAGAAGGCGAGGACTGGAAAGGAGAGGTTTCAACATGTGAAAGCATGGGGATCAGAAGGTGAGCCACGGCCTTCACTCAGCAGGGATGTGCCCCCCTCAGCCACCTGTCAGAAGGTCTGAGCATCTTCAGTGGCTACCAGGGGCAGAAGGTGGGATTGGGAGAGGGCTACCTGGGGTCAGGGAGCAGGGTGAGCCACTCTGTCTCCTCCATTCCCTCTACATCACAGCTTTAAGATCCTAAGGGAGGGGCAGGAGCCAGCGGCAGTCAGTACGACCTGACCATGGTGCTGCTCGTGTGTTCCCAGGGCAACCTGGCCTATGCCTATGAGACCAAAGATGCACTGTGCCTGGTACCGACCGTTAGAAATGGGGGTGACCTGAGGTTTCACATCTACGTGGGGAAGCCTGGCTTTGAGGAAGAGTGAGCCTTGGTATATGTGGCCGAGACCCTGTGTGTCCTAGAAAACCTGCACAATGAAAACACTGTCTATAGTGTTCCCAGCATCTGGCAGGGCCCTGGCACCACCTCCAGCAAGAGCCCAGGACCCCAGCAAGGAAGATGAGCCGCTCTTGGAAGTATCACTGGCCTCTCATTAGGGAAGGCAGGCTTGTGAAAGCTATTCCCCAAACTCTTCCTCTAAGTCATGGAGGGTAGACTATACCACCACCACACCCTGTACCCAGGCACCATACACTGCCTGGTGGCCACCATCTGGAATCAGCCCCAGGAGATGTCGGGAATGTCACTGTCCAAGGGCGTCGCAATGCCGTATGTCCTGCCCCATCCCATCTTAAGTCTGTTCTAACCTTCACCCTGTTTCTCTCATCTCAATACCAACGTGGCCTGAACTCTATAGAGCCTCATTCCAACATGCTTCTCACAGTGAACAGGGCTTTGTGTTGTCTTCATAGCCCTCCACAAAGGATTCTGAAAAGCTCTGTGCCTTTCCTGCTGTTTTAAAATAGTATTTTGCTATTATTTTTTTTTTAAATCGTGTGGGTATGTGTTTGTGGGTTTGTCTGAATGAATGCACTGCCTGCTGAGATCAGAATAGGGCAATCGATCCCTTGGAGCTGGAGTGCAGGTGGTTGTGAATCACCTTGATGTGAGTAATGGCTATTAGACCCCGGCTCTCTAGAAGAACGGTGAGCGCTCTGTCTCCCAGCCATCCCTTCTGCCTCCCTTCCTGCATTTTGAGTGAACACTGAGCTAGCTATTCCTTTATGTGTTCAAGAAAAGGGGCTGATGTTTTTGGTTTAGCCAGTTACATCACATTTCTGAAGGGACCCAGGGGAATCTAATTGCTGTAGCAAATTGATTTCCACCAGCATCTGTCTAAAAGGCTGTGTGGGGGAAGCTCTTGAAAGGTAAAGGATGACGTCAGGAACTCCCCACTGGACACTGCCACTGTGTGCAATCCTGTCAGCTCCCCGGGCACCCACCAAGGTCACCATGGTCCCTTGAGAAATGTGATGTAATGAGTCCCTTGAGAAATGTGATGTAACTGGCCAGTTTTGCTGTGGGACGGTCTGTATGTCAAATTGCTCTCATTGGTCAATAAATAAAACACTGGTTGGCCAGTGGCCAGGCAGGAAGTAGGTGGGACAAGAAGAGAGGAGAATTCTGGGAAGCAGAAGGCTGAGGCAGAGAGACACTGCAGCCACTGCCATGACCAGCAGCATGTGAAGACGCCGGTAAGCCACCAGCCACGTGGCAAGGCATAGATTTATGGAAATGGATTAATTTAAGCTATAAGAACAGTTAGCAAGAAGCCTGCCACGGCCATACAGTTTGTAAGCAATATAAGTCTCTGTGTTTGCTTGGTTGGGTCTGAGCGGCTGTGGGACTGGCGGGTGACAAAGATTTGTCCTGACTGTGGGCAAGGCAGGAAAACTCTAGCTACACAGTTTCAAAACATGGTGACCTCAGACATCCATGGGCACCATATAGTCAACTGATGACTTTGCATGGATCTCTGGGTAGAGATTATCTTGGGACCCCAAGAGGCTTTTAGAAACAAGGAAGAATGTTCCTGAGAGCTCTCATCCCAAATACCAGCCCCTTGTGTTTGCTTCCCCCTAAGGGCTCTAAACAAAGAACCTCCTTGATTGTCTTGATTGCCTGTCAATTAAAAGAAAGGATAGGGGAACCCTGGAGGACCAATTTCTCTAGTTGTCTTGACCACCTGGCCCTGGACTCTCTGTGATTTGGTTTTGGCCGGTGGTTCCTAGCAAGCTGTCATATCCAACCCATGGCCACTGGTTTCTTGAGATGAGAGTTTTTTTGCCCTTATTTGGAATTGTTAAGGTATTGTAATTTAGCCCATGTAAATTACAAAGGGCAGCAAGCTGGTTTGGAATAAGGATGAGTATGAAAACAGTCATCTCATTTGGTGAGACTGCCCAGGATTTGGGTGTATGAACCGCTTCCCAAAAGGATAGATGCTGTCTTTTAGGATTCCTATTGCTGTGACAAAGCATCATGACCAAAAAGCAAGTTGGAGAGGAAAGGGTTTATTTGACTTACCCTTCAGCATTGCTGTCCATCACTGAAGGAAGTCAGGACAGGAGCTCACACAGGGCAGGGTCCCGGAGGCAGGAGCTGATGCAGAGGCCATGGAGGGGAGCTGCTTACTGGCTTGCTTCCCACGGCTTGCTCAGCCCACCTTCTCATAGAACCCAGGACCAGCTGCCCAGGGATGGTCCCACCCTCCATGGGCTGGGCCCTTCCCCATGGATCACTAATTGGGAAAATGCCTTACAGCTGGATCTCACGGAGGCATTTCCTCAGCTGAGGCTCCTTCCTCTGATGACTCTAGCTTGTGTCGAGTTCACACACAGAATCAGACAGTACAGACGCCATCCGTCAAACGAAGAGAACCAGCTGGTACTGAACTGGAGCCTGCATCTCGATGCCAGTATTGTCAGCCCTGGGTTGCAGCACTGTGCGCTTTACCTTGATCCAATTTCCACTGGGAAATCCAGAGTCTTGGGCCTGCCTTACTCCCTGGAAAGGCAGGCGGTCTCCTTTGTGAGCAAGAGCCTGTCACTGAAGAGAGGAGACATTGGGAACAGGGTGAGTCCCACTGGCAACTGCGGCTTCTGCCTGAGTGCTGCGGGCCGCAGGGATATATCATAAGAACTCAGCTGGTTATGGCAAAGTCACTACCTGGAGGGATCAGGGATTTCCTTCAGAGGAAGCCAAATTCCAAGGAGCTTTTGGTGTTACGTGGCTTGTTATATATCAGCTGTCTTCTGTATGAAAATCATGTGTGCCTTCATAGTTTTCCCAATTGATTTTTCCCTAAGAAGGGCTAACAGTGTGGACTGATCACTCTCTGGACATACACATTCCAGGTATTTGGAGAACAGCCTCAGGAAAGGCTTCCTCTGGAATCAGATATCTCCCTTGGCCACTTTCAAGGACTAACAGAAATAGCAGTCCAGACCACCACATGCTAGTCTCCTGATTTAAGGTAAATTCCACAAGGAGACACCACCTAGGTCAGGTGGACGTTAAGTAATAGCTTTACACAATTCAGCTCGGACCCCCTCCTTTCTTACAGCCTTACTAACTTTATAGACCTCTAACTCCTTACCTAACCACTTCTAGGAATATTTAGATAACTCTCTGCACTGACAGCTCAGCCAGAACCCCCGTTCAAGCCTCCCTGTAATTATCATCATTGGCAGCATCCGGCTAAGTCCATCCCCAGATGGAGGAAAGTACCTTATCAGAGATACCTCTGTACTCTCTAAGAACAGAATTAAGCATCCAGACTACTTATTTGAGAAGGCCGGGCGGATGTGCCAATTAAGCTTAACTTCCTCCTTTCCCATATCTTACCTCTAGTTCCACATCTCCCTCTAACTATCACCAGAGGCATCTAGCTGTACACAGGTTGCCTAGCAACCGAGCACACTTTCCTCCACCCTGAAGGAAAAAAAAAAACAAAAAAACAAAAAACTGCAGATAGCTTGGACAGATAGGAGCCACAGGAAAAAAGAAGGCAGTTTTATTTTCTCCCATTGACCTAGCAACTTACAGATTCTTAACATTTTCTACCAATCATGTTTAAGATTATAGTTGAGCACATAGGAGCCCTCTTCTTAGATACTATCTGAATTTAGCCTTTAGTTAATTCATTAGTCACTTCCCTTTTGGGTTGCAAATGATCATTAACAATTACTGCCCCTCTATGTGATTCTTATCACCCCTCCTGGAAGACTGATGGTCACTGCCTGAGGAAAATTCTTATCTGCCTTTATGACCCTGTAGAATTCAAGCCTGGTGACCTTGCTCAACCAGGGGATTGCTATTGCTTGGGTTTATAACTGGATTCCTGGGAGACTTAGGAGGAACGAGGAGAACTTAGAGACGGAGAACAGAGAGGGATAAGGAGGATTTTGACCAGAGAGAACGTGTGGACGAGATGGAAGATGAGGAAGAGTCAGATGGGGAAGTCCTAGCTGGGTAAGAACAAGATGAAAAGGACCTAGATGAGGCAGAATTAAGACGAGAGAATTAAGATAGAACTTAGAGGGAGCAGTAGATAAATATAGAGAGAAATCAGGTGAGAAAGTAGCTAGGCATGAGAACAGAACTGAAGCTGTGTATATAGGCCGTTATCCCAGAGGAATTAAAGCAAATGGACTATAGAGCTCAGTGTGCTGAGATTCTATTTCTCAAAAATAATCCTCGCCATTTGTAGTTTCTCTCCTGAGCCCCTGGGAAGTATTAATATTAAGGCTGGCCCCTCTAATATTATACAAGACCCGAGCTTCTTCCCAGGCTGTGGCACAGCAGGACTTTGGCGATGTGACAACCCCCGGGGACCCCATCCATAGGGGTCTCTCCTCTGGCCCATCTTTGCCTTAAGGCAGTTATTCTCAACCTTCATAATGCTGTGACCCTTTAATACATACAGTTCATCATGTTGCAGTCACCCCCAACCACAGAATTATTTTCACTGCTACTTCATAACTGTAATGTTGCTGCTATTGTGAATTGTGATGTAAGCATCTGTGTTTTCCGATGGTCTTAGACAACCTCCATGAGAAGGTTGTTCAATCCTCACTGGGGTTGGGACCCACAGGTTGAGAACCACTACCTTGGTCGGGCGGTGGTGGCGCACGCCTTTAATCCCAGCACTTGGGAGGCAGAGGCAGGTGGATCTCTGTGAGTTCGAGGCCAGCCTGGGCTAACAAGTGAGTTCCAGGAAAGGCTAGCAAAGCTACATAGAGAAAACCTGTCTTGAAGAAAAAAAAAAAGAGAGAGAGAGAGAACCACTACCTTACAGCCTTCTTCCCAATTGTAGGGCTGGTGTTAAGGCCTTGGTGACTTGACCTCCGGGAGTCTCTGACCATAGCAGCCTGTCCTCTGCCATCCGTGTAAGGATGGGTACCAGAACTGGCTTTTCCTAACCTCCTAGCCAATGGCAACCCCCAGCTTTTGTGTTAAAATCACTGTGAGGACAGAAACTAGCTCACAATGCCCTTGACCCAGAGACACCAGACCACCTAAGCCTAGAGGTGGGAGGCAGACATCCTATGATACTTGTCTCACAGAGGAGCCAACCTGACCTTGGCAGTGATTCTACCAGGTCTCCGGCATGCTCCTGACTTCCCACACTGAGTGGCCCACTGTGGTACTCACATGCTCTCTTCCCCTTTCCTGTCAAGCATCACAGAGCTGGAGTCATCCATGCCACTCAGGCCTGGCAGGTCTATGGCCCAGGACCCTGTAGAAAGGCATGCGTTCCTTCGTGAGTGTCAAATGTGCCTAGTGGGTGTGACAGAGGCAGAGGCAGAGCCTTCAGGGCAGTGTGGTCTGGGCCTTGGGGGCCACATTGAACTCTGAGCCCAGATTCCAGGGCGGGCCTTTGACCTTCTAATTTCTCCATTTCTTTGAAGAAGAAAAAATAAACCACCTCAAAAACCTAAACAGTCAGGAAAGGGGTGGCCTCCCAAATTGCTTTACAAATTCTTCTCCTTGAGCAAATTGTTGTAAAATGTCAAGAACTTCATATTTTTCCTGTGAAGCAATCCCAGGATCCTCCAGGACGTTTTTAATTCTGTGACCTCTACCTTCCAAGAAGCCCAGTGGGCATTAAATGTTGCAGGCCAGCCAGCAGCCAGCCTCAGCCAGACATCCTTCTACATCTTTATTAACGTTCCTCTCCTAAAATGTGCAACCTCCACACGTCCCACCTACATTCTCCTGGAGTCACATGGTCACCCTGAGAGGACAAACTGAGATCACATCTTTATTGGTCAGAAGCCTTGCAAGTCGGTGGCCCTGACCTGGTTGATCGTTTCTTTAGCTGCGCAGAAGCTTTTTAGTTTTGTGAAGTCCCATTTGTCAGTTGTCAGCTTTAACTCTTGTGCACATGGAGTCTTGTTCAGAAAGTCCTTTCCTACACCTATGTCGTGTAGAATGCTGCCTGTGTTTTCTTCTAGCACTTTTGGTGTTTCAGGTTTAGGACTCTGATCCACTTGGAGTTAAGTATTAGTGCAAGGCGATAGATACAGATATAATTTCATTCTTTCGCTTGTGGCCATCCAGTTTTCCCAGCACCGTTTGTGGAAGATGCCTTTTTCTTCTTCTTTTTTTTCACAGTATATGTTTTAGAGTTTTTGTTAAACACTAAGTGGCTGAAGTTACTTGTGCTCATGTTTGGGTCTTGGATTTTTTCCCCTTGGTCTACACATCTCTTTTGTGTGCCAATACCGTACTGTTTTAATTACCATGGCTCTGTAATGTATCTTAAGGTTTGGAATTGTAGTCATATTAGCATTGTTCCTTTGTTCAGGATTCTTTTGGATATGCAGAGTCTTTGTGATTCCTTATGGATTTTAGGATAGTTTCCCCCCTTTTCTATGAAGAATGAGATGAAGATTTTGGGTTGGGATTGCACTGAATCTGTCAATAGCTCTTGTTAGAATGTTTATTTCTCAATGTTAATTCTACCAATCCGTTAGCATGGGATGTCTTTCCACTTTGGAGTGTCTCTATCTCTTTCTTAAGACATGTAAAGTCTTCATTGTAAAGCTCCTTAACTTCTCTGGTTAGGTTTGTTCTAAATATTGTATTTTCTATGAGGCTATTGTGAATAGGAGTGTGTTCATGATCTCCTCCTCTGTATGCTTATTGTTGGTTTATAGAAACTATTGACTTGTGCAAGTTGATTCTGTACCCTGCCACACTGCTGAAATTTGTTATCATTTCTATAAGTCTTACGGTAGAATTTTTGGGGTCTCTAATGTATAGTGTTGTGTCCTCTGTAAACAGGGTAGTCTGACCTTTTCTTTTCCTGTTTATCCCTTTAACTCCCGTCTCTTGCCTTACCTCTCCAGCTGGTACTTGGAGCACAATATTGAAAAGGAGTGGGGATAGTGAACATCCCTGATCCCTGTCTCATTCCTGACTTCACTGGGATTGCTTCAAGCTTTTCTCCATTTAGGATGATGTTGCCTGTGGGTTTCTCATGTGGAACTTTTACTGTGTTGAGGCATGTTCCCTTTAGCCCTACATAATGGTGTTTGTCAAGGGCTTTTTCTGCCTCTATTGAGAGGATCATGTGATTTTTGTCTTTAAGTCTATTTATATGATTTATCACATTTATTGACTTGTGTATGTTCACCCATCCCTGCATTACAGCGATAAAGCCCACTTGACCATGGTGCATAATCTTTTTGATGTCTGTCTGTCTTCTGTTTGCAAGTATTTTAATGAGTATTTTGGGGTCTACATTCACGGGGACATTGGCCTACTGCTTTCTTTGTGTGTCTTAACCTGGTTAGGGTGACACTGGTTTCATAGAAGGTGTTTGGGAGTGCTCTGTTTGTCCCTGATTTTCTTTTTGAATAGTTTAAGAAGGACGACTGGCTGTATAGCTTCTTTGAGTGTCTGTTAGAATTCTTCTGATCTGGTCCTGGACTTTTTTTTTTTTAAGATGGAAAGCTTTTTATTACTATTACAATTTCCTCATTTGTTACGGCTTTGTTTAAGTTGTTGACTTATTGGCTACATTTTGGTGGTTTGACTGAACCTAGAAACTCATCCATTTCTTTTAGTGTTTCCAGCTTAAGGGAGTAGAGGTTTTAAAAATATTCCATTACGATATTCTGAATTTCTTTGGTGTCTGTTGCAATGGTTCCCTGTTCATTTCTGACGCTTGTTAACTTGGGCCCTCTCTTTCTTTTGGCTTGTTGGGCCAAGGGTCTGTCAATTCTGTTTCTCTTAAAGAACCAGCTCTTAGATTCACTGATTCTTTGAAATGCTTTGTTTCTACCTCACTGATTTATGTTCTGACTTTTATTGTTCCTTGCAGTTGACTGGGTTCGGAATTGGTTTGTTCTTGGTTGTCCAACTTTTGAATGGCATCATTACACCATTTATTTGTGTTCTTCCTGGGTTTTTAATGTAGGCACTTAGAGCTATAAATTTCTCTCTTCGGACTGCTTTCAATGTGTCCCAGAGGTTTTGTTGTGCTGTGTTTTCACTTTTCATTTAGTTCCAGGAAGTTTTTTTAATTTACTTCTTGGTATTATTTTACCCATCCATCATTCAGTAATGAGTTGTTTAATCTCCATGAATTTGTGTATTTACTAGAGATTTGCTTGCCATCAATTTTAGGTTTTATCACACTGTGGTCAAATAGGATAGACACAAGGAGTGATTTCAATCTTCTTGAGTCTGTAAAGATTTGTTTTGTATCCTAAGATGTGGTCTATTTTAGAAAAGCTTCTGTGTGTTGCTGAGTAGAATGTGTATTCTTTGTTATTTGTGTGGCATATTCTGTAAATATCTGCTGAGTCCATTTGATGTATGGTGTTAATTAATTCTGTTGTTTCTCTGTTTAATTTTTGTCCAGAGGACCTGTCTATTTGGAGAAAGTGGGGTATTGAAATCACTTAATATAAATGGTTTCTTGTCAATCTCTGTCTTTGACTCCAATAGCACATTTCTTAATTAATTGGATGCTCCAGAGTTTGATGCATGTTTAGTAGAGTAGTGTCTTCTTGGTTAACTGCTCCCTTGGTTAAAATGAAGTGTCCCTCTTTATCTCCTCTGATTAGTTTTAGTTTAAAGTCTATTTTGCTTCCTGGTGCCATTTCATTTGATTGGATTACGTTAGCCCATCCTTTTACTCTAAAGTGACACCTGTCTTTAAAACTAAGATGTATTTCTTGTAAGCAGCAGGTCGATGGATTTTGTTTCTTGATCCACTCAGTCAGTCTGTGTCTTTTGATTGGAAAACTGAAGCCATTGATACTTAAAGTTACTACTGAGTTCTGTGTTAATCGTGGCCATCGTGTTGTTGATTTTTGGTGTTTGTCCTCTGTGGTATTTTGTGTTTTAATAATTGTGGCTTTGTATTTCCTTACACAGTCTCTCTGTTGTGCTCCTTCCTCTCATCAGCCTGAGATAACGCTGCCTGGATTTTCCTTAGGTTTGGTTTGTTTGATATATTTTTCTTAGGCTGATTATGTCATGGAAATTTTTTCTTCCTCCTTCAACCATGGCAGATAGTTTTGCTGGGTATATTAGCCTTGGTTGGCTGTCATAGTCTTTGAGGACTTAGAATGTGTTGCTCCCAGGCCATTCTGGATTTCCTAGTTTCCATTGAGGAATCAGCTGTTATTCTGATGGGTTTTCCTCTATATGTGACTTGTATTTTTTCTCTTGTAGCTTTCAATATACTTTCTTTGTTATGTACACTTAGTGTTTTCACTATGATATACTGTGGGGATTTTCTGTTCTGGTCTTGTTTATTGTGATTCTGTGTGCTTCTTGAAATTTTTTTTTTGTTGGTTTTTTTTTTTTTTTTTTTTTTTGTTTTTCTCTGAGACAGGGTTTCTCTATGTAGCTTTGTGCCTTTCCTGGAACTTGCTTTGTAGACCAGGCTGGCCTCGAACTCACAGAGATCCTCCTGGCTCTGCCTCCCGAGTGCTGGGATTAAAGGTGTGCGCCGCCACTGCCTGGCTCATCTTGAATTTTTATGAGTGTGTCTTACCTTAGTTTGAGGAAGTTTTCACCTATGATCTTCTTGTTGAAGGTCTGGTCTATACCATTGACTCAGGTTCCCCAAGCCCCGCAGTCCCACAATCCACATATAAAACAATCACTCAGGTACTTATATTACTTATAAACTGTATGGCCGTGGCAGGCTTCTTGCTAACTGTTCTTTTATCTTAAATTAACCCATTTTTATAAATCTATACCTTGCCACGTGGCTGGTGGCTTACCAGAGTCTTTACATGCTGCTTGTCCTGGCGGTGGCTGCAGTGTCTCTCCCCTCAGCCTTCTGCTTCCCAGAATTCTCCTCTCTCCTTGTCCCACCTACTTCCTACCTGGCAGCCTGCTTCCTGCCTGGTCACTGGCCATCAGTGTTTTATTTATATAGAGCAATATCCACAGCACTTCCCC